ATGTGAAGCATGTCGGGGGGCCGTGACGCTGTGACCGCTGGCTTGGCCGCTAGTAGAGGTGGCTTGATAGCACGGAGCGCTTCCTGTGGGATTGGAGCACATGAGACGTGCACATCAGGCAGCGGGGTAGCTTTGACGCGGAAGTATAAATCAGGCTTTCGGCATTCCCCTCCTTCCTTTGAGCAGTGTAGGTGAAGTGTGCACAGGAAACTGAAGCTGAAATGTCAGATGAAGAGCAGAAATCATTTGAGCTGCTGAGGCTGTTAAACTGACGTAATGTGAGAGGAAGCAGTGAAAGGGTTAAATAACTGTGTGTGTGTGCGACCTCCAGCTGACATCACCTCGTCAGCTGACATCGAGCAGTGTCTGAAGGAGGCGGCCTACATGAAAGACTTCGACCACCCCAACGTCATCCAGCTCATCGGTAAAACACACACACACACACACACACACACACACACACACACCCACACACACACACACACACACACACACACACCACACACACACGACCAGGGGTCAAAGGTCAGATGGTTTGATTGACAGTTCCCCCTCGTCCAATAGGAGTGAGTCTTCACCGGCGTCCTGGCCAGCGGCTGCCGATCCCGATGGTGATTCTGCCGTTCATGAAGCACGGAGACCTGCACACCTTCCTGCTGCTGTCCAGACTGGGAGAACGGCCGTTTGTAAGAGAAGCACCTTCTTCGTGTTCTCTGAGCTCTGCTTTCATTCTTTAATCCGCTGTCCGGACGTTTTGTTCTGTCTGCACAGGCAGATTCATCAATGTCCTTTTTCAGTTAGAAGTAAATTAAACTGGAGATTGTAATTTAATACATATTCAAAAGGGGAACAGTTGTCCTCGAGTCCCTGATCCTGGTAGCTGGTCAGAAGTCTGTGCACCTGTACTGACCCTGTTCCTCCACCAGGACCTGACTCTGCAGACTCTGCTGCAGTTCATGCTGGACATCTCTCGGGGGATGGAGTACCTGAGCGGCAGGAGCATCATCCACCGAGACCTCGCTGCCCGAAACTGCATGTGAGTCCACCGGTCAGCTCTCAGAAACAGAGACGCACGGAGGCCACGCCTCCTCATTTACAACACGCACGTCGGCGTCTGAGTTTTCAGGGTTTCACTTCGGCCAAGAACCAAAACAGTAAAACATGAACGGATAAAACAGGGACCGTGTCGGGGACGCTGCTTCATGTGACGGCGGATTACGACCACTGGAGGTTAAAACATCGTGCCTTTGGTGTGAGAGACCGTGTCCCTGAGCGAGAGGCGTGCGTCCTCTGACGTATCTAGCAGCTGTACGACGCTTTGCATAAGCTGAAGGAGGAAATGTAAAAAAAATTAAACGGACACGCAATACTTTAATCTCAGAATATCACTTCCCCTTTTATTGTTACTGTTTTACCAACAAGCCGTCATAGTTTTAGAAGGTAAATAAGTAAAACGGAACGTTTTTGGT